TGAATGTTCACTAGTTGGTGAAAGGAAAAAAAGAAAATAATATCGAGAACACTTCTAAACTAAGCGCGAATTATTAGTTTCATTTCTGAACTATTGATAGTATTAAAAATATCAATTTATTTGACAAACTGGACTTAAATATACTCTCGATCTTGTAACATGAGTGAAATACATCCCTAAATTCTCGCCAAGTTTAGGGGTGATTCTAACACTTCTCTCGGTTGTTTATTAGTGTCATGCTCCTACAAGAGTTTGAGACCACTTGCTATGTTATTTGACAGATCAAGGGTGATCGATGGTGTATCTAAATTTAATTAGTCAAGTAAATGAGTGTTTTTAAATCTGTCAATAATTGGAATACGATTGAAGGAAAAAATAACAAATTAATGGACTTTTATACTCTCTTTTTTCCAAATTAAAAGGACTTCATTGTTTATCACAATGCAAGTTGGATATTTAAAATATTATATTTTGTCAAATCAAGAAGGAATTAAATATTCTCTTTATTATTACATCCAATATCTATAAGCCTAAAAGGTTCTCTTTATTATTACATCCAATATCTACAAGCCTAAAAGGTTCTCTTTATTAATTATTACATCCTATATCTATAAGCCTAATAGGTCATGACAAAGTTATGTGCAATACCACGTGCGATTTCCCTCTTTGAGCTTGTGATAAAAAGTCATTGAATCTCAACTAAAAACACCTCCTAGTTAGACTAGCTTGTGACATGTTCGATTAATTTGAATTTATGTTAAATAATTTTATAATAGGAAATAAAATATTTTTTGATAAAAATAACCTTATATTTTAAAATTTAAAGTCAAAATCTTTGACTATATATGATGGCTATATTTTATAGGACTACTTAATTGATGTATCGCGATCGAATTCATCCAAAATAAAAAAAATCTAATTGACACTCAAAAAATAAACTATATTGGAAAAAGAAGTTAATCTTAAAACTCTATCAAATACTTGAAGCAAGAAAAGTATAGAATCCTTTAAGGAACATAAAATTTCTTACTTATCACTAATTAAGGAAATCTCATCTTAGCCTAATTGAACATTTTAACAACTTATCATTCCGTATATTTATTAATTCAACTAATTTTATTTCACCTAAATTTAATGCAACACATGTATATTTGACACATTGATTCGAAGTAAGAAGTAAAACTCATTAAATGGGAATTCAGAAAATAGTAGCCTCTTACGCTTTGAATGAACTTGACTTTTCTTGTCCTAATCAATAACAGAGTCGTAACTTTTATTAGAACGTTTAAAATACGAAGAAGTAAATGTATCTTAATTTTTATATATATAATATAACTTTCTTATCGAATAGATGAATATATTGCCTCTATCTAGCTCCGCTCCTTCGGTCCCACTGTACTCCATTGATCTGCAATTCTGTATTGATTTTGACACCAAATTTGTATTTTATTTTTTTATATTATAGTACTCCATCAGGTCTTTGTTTAAAGTATCTTCCTGTATGCACTTAATAAAATGGGGTCAGTTTTGGCTGTCAGCAGTATTATTAGCACCTCCCTCGTTTCTTTTCCGTCAGCCACCCTACACGTGAAAATTATTTTGGCTAAGGATAGCAAGACACGTGAAGAAATTGTAAAATTACACTGAATATATTATTTTTTTAATATTAAAAATTGAATTTAGAATCTTTATTGATTTTCTAAATTAAGTTTGAACGGTGTAATTATCTTATCTGAAAATTTATTAATATTATTATTCATTGGATTATTTCCTTTAAAAAAAATCATCATTTCTAGGATTTATTTTTTAATTTCAAACGATGTGGAGCTTATGAGTACAAAAAATTTAATGAGAATACCATAGAAGAATGTTGCAACAGAACATATAACTTAATTGTACTGTTAGACTTTCCTTAATTATTAATTAATTTTCACTTTTATAATATATTATATATATATTACTTGTACCTCCTCCGTCCCTAATTACTTGTCCACTTTTGAATTGACACACATATTAAGAAAACAATTAATGATATAGTAAGTTTACCATTTTACCCCTATTAATTATGAAGTGGATGAAAAAATTTACATTTTTCAAAGTAATTAGTCATTTAATTGAGGGTATAATAGGTAAAAAAAAATTGTCCTTTCTTGACTTGTCAGAATGGACAAGTAATTAAAGATAACTATAAAAGAAAAAGTGAACAAGTAATTAGGGATATGTAGTGTATCTTTTATTCACTGACTCGATGATCTTGGTTGGTAGCTTGCATTTATGACCGTTAATTTGTGTTGGTTTATTGTTAAAGAAGAACTCTTGTTATATATCGTATATCTCTAAAATGATATTAGATTTTAAGATTTAATCAAATTTTATAATCAAAGGATAACTTAAATAAAGAATATTAAAGGTGAAATCAGTTCTGGTCCAAAAATCAAATTTTATAATCAAAGGATAACTTAAATAAAGATATTAAAGGTGAAATCAGTTCTGGTCCAAAAAAAGGGAAATAAGACTTAAAAGCAATGACGTAGCAAAAAATTTCACAAAAGGTATTCAAACAAAAAAAAAAAATCCTATAGGGATTCAATCTTGCATACTCTGCACCTAATTGCCACCGAGCTGCTTGCATTATCCTATAGGTTTTAAGCATAAAAAAAACAATAAAATGCAGACACAGATTCAAATTTGGGCACCGTGTAAGTTTTGTTGTTTTGAGGATGTCCAAAATAATACATATACCCATATAAAATAAAATTTGATCTATATATATAAAGTAATTTTCTGATGAAAAGTGTTCAACTGAAAACTCGAACACCACCATAACTCCGCCCCTACCTATATATATAATGTCAATAATATTCACTATGTATAGGGGTCTCATCTTTCTTTTATAGAAAAAGCCAATATGTCCCCAAAATGGCAGAAAGATTACTCGTGCCCACTTTATATTGTTTCAAACAATATTTAGGTTATGTTCGGTATGAATAAAAATATTTTTCAGAAGATAAATAAATTGTTTTTTTACTTTTTTTATATTTGATATGTAAATAAAAAATAATAATTCAAAGCGCTCGTATATAAGCTAATGGTTGCTCCATAAAAAAAAAGTTGATCAGGTTTATCCCTTAACTATGCAAATAAGGCAGTTTTGTCTAATTGCGAAGACTTGAGCAAAAACTTATAGTAGACATTTTGAGATTAATTTAATTATTTTATGTTTCCTATAAAGTTTAAAATTGTCTATACTAATTTTTCAATTAAATATTTATTCTATTGTTTATTTTATTTTATTATTATCACTCTTACTGAAATTTTAGAGGACTTAATAATAAGTAATATAACATATTAATGTTTAGTTGAATTTAATTTCTCTTATCATATTATATATAGAGTTAGTAAAATAAATTTATTATCATAGAAAAATAAATTTTAATGGATTGGTAAGTAATTGTCAAAAATGATGTAATATCAGTAGATTCTCGAATCACATGACAATTAAAAGACAAATGACTTTATCTTTGATAAAAATAATACCGTTCTTTGACATGATCTGGAATGGCAAAGTCCGTAAATATAAGAAAATCATTTATATTAAATACTACCATAATATTTTTCATTTTATGAGAGTCAAATAGTTTAAGATTGACTGAAAATTTACGTATTAAATCTTCAATTTTTTTGAAATAAAATTTATATATTTTTAAACTACGTAAAAAGTACTATAAGTCACAATAATTGATAATTCAACATATTTAAAAGATATATGAAAAATTTATGGTCAAATAAATTTGGTTGAATCTCAAATTCTGAAATGTGTCGCATAAATTGAAATGAAGAGAGTATACAATATCAATATTTTCATATAATATTTTAGTTCTAAGTTAGTACTTCTAAATAGTGCATACCATCAAATACTTGATTAATTTAAGGTCTAAGTACACATTACATTCTCCGGTTTTTGAATTATATTTTGGTTCTAACTAATACCTACCATCAAATACATGAGAAAACAAGTACTAATGGGCTCAAATTCGCAATTTATAAAGGGGAAACTAAGTAAAGATCCCATAAAGGTAAAATAATTACAAACATTTTCAATCATATTCCACTAAATAATTATACTATATACTTTCAACTAATTTCGCTTAGCTGATACTAAATGAGTATCATATATTGTATTGGTACTTTTGCTTAATTGATACTAAATCAGTATATATATAATGTATTGGTATCATTAAGAAGCCTCAATGATACTATATAAATATATATACTCTTATAGTATCATTGATTAATGAATAATTTATGAACAAGAAGCCTTAATGATACCACAACAATATACATATACTCTTATAGTGCCATTGATTAAGTAATTTCTGAACAAGAAACCTTATATATATATATATATATATATATATATATATATATATATATATATATATATATATATATATATATATATATATATATATATATATATATATATATATATATATATATATATATATATATATACTGATTTAGTATTAGTCAAGCTAAACTATCAGCCTTAATGATATCATTACAATATATATATATATATACTGATTTAGTATTAATTAAGCGAAATTATCAGCTTTAATGATACCAATACAATATATGATACTGATTTGGTATTAGTTAAGCGGAAATTATCAGCCTTAATGAATGAGGGTATGGACTGTAATATTTTTTGAGAGAATAGGTATTTTTTGAATTACCTTGAATTGGATACGAACATGTAATTATTTTGAGTTTTATTGGTTATTTATGTAGATTTTCCATTTAAAAATGATACCTTTATTATTTCTTTGAGGCTTTGCTTCAAAATTAAAATTGTTAAACAATATAGAAAATATATATTTTTGAAACGAATTGAAAAGGAAAATAGGACGAGAAGAGGGGCAGGGAGTAGAATTTATTTGGAAAATAAAAAAAATGTTGGTCTGTATTTGAGGGCTGGAAAGAGTAGTATATAAATCTTATACGAAGCTCTCTCTCTCAACACACAACTTCACTCATTTCTCGAATCACTCTCTTTCTCTCTCTTCCCGAACTTGTAGGATTTCAACTCGAACATACTCCTCGCCGGAGAACGAAATAAACGTCGTCGGTGTTCAGGTAATTGAAGGTTCTACCTTTGATCCGTTCAATTCTTTTGGCTCGAAGTTGTAGTTGGAACAAATCGGAAATGGCTTCTCAACCGAAGAATGTTGGAATTCTCGCCATGGAGATTTACTTTCCTCCTACTTGTCTTCAGCAGGTAAAATTTCCCGAATAAATTTTGCTAAATACGTATATACATCCACATGCGTATATTTATACTTGCAGATGTGTATTACGATTGGGTTGTATGTTAGGTGCTACAGTTTTGGCTGAGGAAAAATGAAATCGGCTTCTTCGGAATAATGATTTTCTCGATGTTAATAATTACCAAATACCTTTTGTTATTGCGATTTGTATTTCTGTAAAGTTTCCTTTCCGTTAGAAATTGTTTTTTTACTTCAAAATTATTAAGTTTACTTATACTTATACAGAGAAAGTCATAATTGCTTGGAAAGTTAGATTTCTATTTAAGATCTCATGATTTATGAATATGAGATCATAGATTTTAATTTATTGCACTTGCATGTTGATTGTTAAATGTATTGTGTATAGCTAGCTATACACTTTACATGGTTTTGGTGCTTTGAAGCTATTTTTCTGATATAATGTAATATTCAAACAAGTTAATAGATTCGAGGGAATAGATCTGATAATTTCTATGAAAAAATGCAATGTTTAGGAAGTATTGGAGGCTCATGATGGAGCAAGCAAAGGCAAGTATACAATTGGTCTTGGACAAGATTGCATGGGCTTTTGCACTGAGGTTGAAGATGTCATATCAATGAGGTATGCAACTAACTTCAGTAGCTGCAGCAACTCCGTATCAATTTCAAACTAGTGAGGATAAGAATGTGAATCCTCATTGCTCTGGTTCATATGGCTCGATTTCATTTCAGTACTTTATAATACTGGGGATTAATTTCATTAGAAACTGTTGTATTTCTTCTCATTGAATTTTTCATCATCAGTTTGACAGCTGTTAATTCCCTACTGGAGAAGTATTCTGTTGATCCGAAGCAAATTGGTCGGCTAGAGGTTGGAAGTGAAACTGTTATTGATAAGAGCAAATCCATCAAGACATTCTTAATGCAAATATTTGAGGTATTGGCTGTTGCTTCTAAGAATGCTGATTAGTAAACAGTCAATTATGGTGCTTTCAAACATGTGGACTAGTGAGACTTAACTACTAACTTTTGCATGATGTACTGCTGATTAGCTCAAAAATAAAATATTAGTTGCAGTCAAGTATTATAAATTATTAAAGACATGGCTTTTTTGCTGATGCTGTTTGTAACCCATCTATATTGTCATATAGGTGAAAACAAGTATAATGATAATGTATTATGCAGTTAGTTACTTGTTTTATTACAAAGTAACTCCTCCAAAATGAGCTTAATATTTGCTTTGACATTTAACCTTGGAAAATAAAATGTTTGTTGCATCAATTTTCCCCGTTTGTCTTTCTGGATTTTCCTCTTCACTGCTAAAGCTTTACTTTGTGGTTATCACTTATGTTTATCATCAAAACTTATTCTTGTGCTTTACCATGTGAAACAAGCAGAAACATGGAAATACTGACATTGAAGGAGTTGACTCAACTAATGCCTGCTATGGGGGAACTGCTGCGTTGTTCAACTGTGTAAATTGGGTGGAGAGTGCTTCATGGGATGGACGCTATGGTCTTGTAGTATGCACGGATAGCGCGGTATGGTCATTATTTTCATGCTTTCTACAACTTTATTTTTATTCTATTGCTTTCTTATTAGATACATAGACTGCAATGCCTGAGCCTTGCATGATTTTGTCCATTTATTTGAGAATTTCTGTTCACAGGTCTATGCAGAGGGGCCTGCTCGGCCTACTGGAGGAGCTGCAGCTGTTGCTATGCTTGTTGGGCCTGATGCTCCTATAGTATTTGAAAGCAAGATCAGGGCTAGCCATATGTCCCATGTCTATGATTTTTACAAGCCCATCCTTGACAGTGAATATCCAGTAATTTCCTTTAGTCCCTGCTTGTCTTGTTGATCTTCATATTTCACATGAATGTTTCAAAATGCTATTTTGTCAAAGCTTTGGGTTAAATAATTTGATTTTTTGAGAGTAGTGGGTGTTGAGAGTGGTATTTTACAGAACTGATAGAATCTTTTGCAAGCTGCCACTTGCTGCTGATACCTTTATGATTGCTTCTTAGAGAAATTGGATAAAAACATGATTTCGATTATATCAGATAGCAGTGTATTGCACGGAAATCTGTAGAATTTCAGTATCTCTTGTTAGTTCCTTATTACCAACATTCTTGATGCCTGCTGCATCATCACTGTTGAAGCTAATTTTCCATCTGTGCTCTGTTTTATGATGTTAATTGTTTTTGCAGGTGGTTGATGGTAAGCTTTCACAAACTTGTTATCTCATGGCACTTGATGCTTGCTACAAGAGTTTATGCAACAAGTAAGTTTCCGGTTGATGCAACCTTATATTTGGAAATAAGTTTCTTAACTGTCTTCATTTAGTGACCTTTTACTTCCATCTTTTAGATATGAGAAATTGGAAGGCAAGCAATTTTCAATGACGGATGCAGCCTACTTTGTGTTCCATTCACCATACAACAAGGTAGCTTATGAGAATCCCATACATATTATAATTTCCTTTTTCTATTTCTCCTAATAAAGGGATATAAACAGTTAGCTGAATCTTTTTTTTAATCATGCAGCTCGTGCAGAAGAGTTTTAGTCGATTGCTGTTCAATGATTTTCTAAGGAATGCTAGGTGTGTTACTAATTTTCTCTTAGAAAGAAGTCTTTTCTTGTTTAAAGTAATTCTTTGGACTGATCATCCTCATTTCTGCATTTGCAGCTCTATTGATGAGTCTGCCAAAAAAATCCTGGCCCCCTTTGAATCCTTAACCGGTGATGAAAGCTACCAGAGCCGTGATCTTGAGAAGGTTCACCTTCTTCCTGCTATTCTTTTTCAATACATTGTTGGAAGCAATGAAAATGAAGTCCAAAGTAAGATATATGTTTCCTAAGACTGAGCTGAGAATGGATTTTTTTTTTCATGCACATACAGACATCCCAACAACTTGCTAAACCGCTTTATGATGAGAAGGTGCAGCCTACCACATTGATACCAAAACAAGTTGGCAACATGTATACCGCATCTCTTTATGCTGCTTTTGCATCCCTCCTTCACAATAAGCACAATACATTGGTAAATACAAGTTACTTTTTTTTTTTTTGTTCCTTACTGCTCAATGTAAATACAGGTTACTTTTGTTCGTTACTGCTTGTTTCACCACCATCGCCTAAATAGTTCTCCCGGTTTCTGAATCATTTTGTCACCTCAGGCTGGTCAGCGGGTAATCATGTTTTCCTATGGGAGTGGATTGACTGCGACTATGTTTTCGCTAAAGTTTAACGAAGGTCAACATCCTTTTAGTTTGTCAAACATTGCAAGCGTGATGAATGTCGCAGAGAAGTTGGAATCGAGACATGAGGTATGCTAAATTCTGATCTCACGATCACTTGTAGATTTAGACTCCATCACTGACTTCATTTAAGCTATAAGATATCCAAATAGCTGTCAGTGATTTTATTGAACTATCCCTCTTTTTTCATCATAACCCTGACTGATGTCAATAACATTTTGTGCAGTTCACTCCTGAAAAATTCATCGAAATATTGAAACTAATGGAGCACAGATATGGTGCCAAGGACTTTGTGACCAGCAAGGATTGCAGCCTTCTCGCACCAGGAACCTACTACCTAACAGAGGTTGATTCCAAGTACAGAAGATTTTATGCAAAGAAGGCTCACGAGAATGGGCAGGTCAACGGACACTAAGACACCAAACATGGTCCGTCCTTGCACGGTGTAAGGCCATATAGTAGGCTCGTGCTGTTTAAGTTATTGTTAGCGCATAGAAGAATAACTAGTGCTCTGGCAGATTCGATTGTTATTACATGTAGTTTCTTTTCCAGAGTAGTAGATCCTATGCCTTTTTTCTTTCTTTTTTTCAGTTCCCGACGAGTTCTAATGTTGTGCATCTCCTTGTCTTCACCTGTTTGTGAAATGATTGTAAAAGTCATCAACCTAGTCTTTGGTTGGAATTCATTTCTCATCTGTAATAAACTAATGTATTTATGAGAAAAATCATTTCAATGGGTGATTGTTGAAATTTATAAACCCGTGAAAATATGGTAAATAGATTTTCACATAAGTATTATTTAAAATCAGAAATCAAGTGTTACATTAGTCATGCATTTTATATTGAAATTATTTATTCCTACCACCATCAACCAACTAGGTTCAAGTGTTAGGTATTTTTTTTCCCATTGGATACTAGTTTGTGATTTTCAGATAACGACCCTCGGATCAATTTTGACTTGCATATTTTCCTTCTTATTTTGATAGTAACGTTTTGAAGTTGACTAAAAGCTGGTGAAAGAAAAAGAAATAAACGCAAATGAAAGAACTTCTTTTCATTTTCTTTAAATAAAATAACTTCAATTAACACAAGTTGGACCTTTAAAATACTCCAAATTGTGTACTTCAATAATCAATTTAAGAAGCTAAGGACTTATATATTCCCTTCTAATACATCCTATTTTGACGTTGAATATGAAGTACCTAAAAGGTGTAACAGTAACATTTCATAATACCAACATGATTTTCTTCAGAATGATTTTTTATATTACATTTTACTTCTCTACAATATATATTATTTTTGAAAAATTACCCCTCTATAACCTCATACTTAAATATTATATACATATTTAAATTAGTTTACAAATAAATTCCTTCTTTGATGCCCAAAATTTTAAACTAATTCGAATAATGAAATCCCAAAATATGTACCAATATTAAAAACAGGCGGGAAACCAACCATAACACCAGAAATTTCTTTTTGTTAATCCTTTTCTCATGTGTATTTGGTAGCCCACTTGTTGAAGGGCGATTCTCCCATTTCCCCTCTCTTTCCCACTGGTTCTGCTTTAAATTATTGAAACTCAACTTTGGTGTCCTGATTTGAATTGTTATATTTAATCGAACGCAAATATGCCAACACACACATCCATTCATCTTCTTTCTCCATTACAAACTTCCTCTCCTTTTCATATTCCTCGTCGTCGGAAAAGCAGTGCCGGAGAAGGAAATAAACGTCGGCGGTCCGGTGGTTGAAGTTTTATTATTTAAATTTGTTCAGTGTGTGTTTTTGCTCAAAGTTATAGTTGCTACAATCGGAAAATGGCTTCTCAACCGAACAATGTTGGAATACTCGCAATGGAGATTCACTTTCCTCCTACTCGCCTTGTGCTGGTAAAGTTACTATACGAGTAACATTTTAAATTTATACTTCTTATTAATTCTTATTTAGCTGCTTAAGCTTGTTTGTTCGTTCGTTCCAATTGAGCACCTGAAATCATGATAAACTGTTGGGGAAGTGTTTGTGCGTGTTAGGTAAATAATCGCAGTTTTGAGTCAAATATGAAGGAGAGTAAATGCGTATAACTTAGGATAACCATTTTATTTAAGCTCTCATGGTGATCTTATGTTATGCACATGTATTGTTTGTATACATAGTTTTGTGCTTTTAAAAGGACTCATATTGCTTTTATAGTTTCATGGGAATAAGACTTTTATGAGTTAATTTAAGTAAAATTGCAATGTACAGGAAGAATTGGAGGCTCATGATGAAGTAAGCAAAGGCGCGTATACAACTGATCCTGGACAAGATTGCATGGGCTTTGTTATTGAGGATGAAGATGTTGTATCAATGAGGTATGCAGTTAACTTTAGTAGCTGCAAAAACAACTACTAGCTAGGGATCAGATATATGAATCTCTATAATCGTTCTGCTTCATTTGGATCCATTTTGTTTCATAAATTGTCATAAAGAAACTGCGGACTAACTTTATTAGCTAATACTTGCAAATACTACTATGTTTTCATCTCTTCTCATCAGAATTTTGCATCTTCAGCATGACGGCTGTTACTTTATCTTTTGGAGAAGTATGCTATTGATCCAAACCAAATTGGCCGGTTAGACGTTGGAACTGAAACTATTATCGATAAGAGTAAATCTATCAAGACATTCTTAATGAGAATATTTGAGGTAACACCCGTTCCATCAAGGCAATGTCCATTATGGTGTTTTCCAACATGTTGCCAACTGATTAAGACTTAATTGCTAAGCCTTTGTGTGACATACCTCTGATTCATCTTGTGAAACAAGCAGGAACATGGAAATACCGACATTGAAGGAGTTGACTCCCATAATTCTAGCTATGGGGGAACTGCTGCATTGTTCAACTGCGTTAATTGGGTGGAGAGCTCTTCATGGGATGGACGTTATGGGCTTGTTGTATGCACGGATAGTGCGGTATGATCATTAATCTTTCATGCAATCTACGACTTGAGTTTTGTCTATTGCTTTGCTTATTAGATACATAGTATGAAATGCCTGAGCCTTAGCATTGTTTTTGTTCATTTATTCGACAACTTCTGTTCACAGGTCTATGCAAAGGGACCTGCTCGGGCTACTGGAGGAGCTGCAGCAATTGCTATGCTTGTAGGACCTGATGCTCCTATAGTACTTGAAAGCAAGATCAGAGCTAGCCATATGTCGCACGTCTATGATATTTACAAGCCCATCCTTGACAGTGAAGATCCAGTAATTCCCTTTAATCCCTTCTTGTCTTGTTTATCAATAATGCTATTTTGCTCCAAAAAAAAATTGTATGAGTTTTTAAGATAATGTGTATTGAGAGTGGTATTTTACGGAACTTGATAGAATTTTATTGCAAGCTACCCCTTGCTGATTCCTTAACCTTCATGTTTTCGTTCTCACAGAAATTGGTTAAACACAATATTTAGTTTATATCTAGAAAACAACATGTTGCATGACAATTTTTAAAATTTCAGTATTATTGATATTTTGCTAGCGACTACATCCACTGTTGAAACTTCAGAATTTTCCTTGTGTGTTCTCTGTGTGATGTTATTTGTTGTTGCAGGTGGTGGACAGTGAGATTTCGCAAACCTGTTATCTTAAGGCACTTGATTCTTGCTACAAGGGTTTATGCAACAAGTAAGCTGCCAGATGATGCATCCTTATATTTCGAGTAAAATTGTTAACTGTCATTGTTTAGTGACCTTTTGTGTAATGTTTTTTCAGATATGAGAAAGTGGAAGGCGAGCAATTTTCAATTGATAATGCAGCCTACTTTGCATTCCATTCACCATACAACAAGGTAGGTTATAAATCTAATTTTTTTCCTCTGTTTCTCTAAATTAGTTCATTTAAACACTTATCTGAATCCTTTCTAATTAATCATGCAGCTTGTCCAGAAGAGTTTTGGTCGCTTGCTTTACAACGACTTTTTAAGGAATGCTAGGTGTGCTAAAAATCTTCTGTTAGAAATGAATATTTTCATTGTTTAAACGGATGTTATGGACTGATCGTCTTCATTTCTGCATTTTCAGCTCTATTGACGAGTCTGCTAGACAAATCCTGGCTCCCTTTGAATCCTTAACTGGTGATGAAAGCTACCAAAGTCGTGATCTTGATGAGGTTCACTACCAATTGCTACTTTTTCATCCTGAAATATTCTTTATTTTACAATTGAATTTCTCTGATCATCTTCAAATATTTATTTTAATCATTCAACCTAACCACATTTGATACCAAAACAAGTTGCTAAGCCTTTTGCCTGATCAATACAGGCATCCCAACAAGTTGCTAAACCATTTTATGATGAGAAGGTGGAACCTACAACATTGATACCAAAACAAGTTGGCAACATGTACACCGCGTCTCTCTATGCTGCATTTGCATCCCTCCTTCACAATAAGCACGACACATTGGTAAACACAACTTTAAACTTTTCTTCTTTTTTTTTTTTTTTTTTTCTTTCGTGTATGTTTCTGAATCAGTTCTTGCCTCTCAGGCCGGTCAGCGTGTAATCATGTTCTCCTATGGGGGTGGATCAACTGCAACAATGTTTTCACTAAAACTTAATGAAGGTCAACATCCTTTTAGTTTGTCAAACATTGCAACTGTGATGAATGTTGCAGAGAGGCTGCAAAAGAGATACGAGGTATGTGGAAATTTTCATGTTGGTGGATTTGTTTGCAGTAGCATTCAAATGTGTTTTTAGAATCCATCTTACTGAACCTTGTCATCGACTCAAATTACAACATTTTTTGCAGTACACTCCTCCCGAATTTGACATTTTCGTTGGACTTTATGAGGCCAGAAGAGAGTTTGGCATCAAAAACGACTATTGGTGTGAAATGCCTGGCAGCATTCTTCCACCAGGAGCCTACTACTTCAGAGGGGTTGATTCCGAGTACAGAAGAGCTTATGGTAAAAAAACTCCCGAGATTGAACAGGAGATAGAAGAAATAATCCTAGAATAACTAATGCAAGCATTACTAATACACCATATTCAACAATATTCTTATACACCCTACAAAACGAACCCTAAGAAGTGTGCCTGCAGGATTTTGCTGCTGTATGCATTTGTTATTCACTTTTTTCAGTTTGAGTTTCTTGTTTGTATTTACATTATCATGATAAAATTGGTTGTTGGGTTGCATCTGTTTTGCTACATTCTTTAAATAATTAATTTCATTAATGACAGAGCCAGATTTTCACGAAGAGATTTTAAAATATGAAGAAGTAAAACATACATAAGTTAAAGAGGGTTCAATATCTACTATATAAATATACATAAAAATAATTTAATCATATATGCCGAAGAGAGTTTGAATATATCCCTCGGTCCTACCTATCTCCACCCTCGTGAATTATGAGGTAGATATAAATTGATATATGAACCAATTGTGAACCTAATAAAAAGTTGTAACATATCAACCAAAAAACATTAAAAATCTTTTAATAAAATCTAAACCAATCAAAGATGAATTGAGTCATAATTTGACTAGCTCATACTTAAACTAATTGAACCGATCATATTTTTATGAACTAGTTTTACCGTCGTTTAAAATTTGACATCCCCACAATATCATAAAGTCAAGTACATGTTGGACCAAGGACATGAGCCATACACATGCTGGGACCACTTTCATGGGCCCAACAGAATTGCCCATACCCACATGGCCCACAGCATTGTACGTATATTATCTTGGCATGGGCCTATTTGTAGTGGTCCA